CTGCTGCTCAAGCTCGGTCACCGTAGAAGCTCCCGTCTGCTGCGCCTGCACGTACTGCGAAGCCATCTCGGTCTGCATCTTCACCAGAGTCCGAAGAGCACCGTTCTCTTCGACCGCCTGAAGGACTTCCGCGCGCATCTCGCTCACTTGTGCGTTCTCAGCACTGAGAACACTGTTCCTCAGCCGCAACTCTCGGAGCTCTGAAAGGAGTGGCTGCCTCGCCTCCTCTCGTCTGTGGCGAGAAGCCCCTGCCTCTTCCTCGCCGGAGGGCGGCGGCGCTTTCGGCGTCGGCGCGGCCTTGGCCTTCTTTTTTGCGCCCCCGGAGCTCTGCTGTCCAGGAGTGGGGCCCCGAGGGGGGTGCGGCCAGTGACCACGTGAGCCTGAGCTCCCACCGTCGGCCCACCATGTGCCGTACGTACCATCATTGTTCCAATTCCAATCATCGTTCCAGCCCATGTTGCTGCGCCACGAGGTGTCGGTGCTCGTGTGTTGCTGCTGGTGCTGTTGTTTGCCTGCTGAGGTGCCGGCGCGGGTGCTGAAGTGCTGAAGTGCTGCTGCTGCTGCTGCTGCTGGCTGGTGCTATGTGGCTTGCTACCTACTCCCGTGTCTCCGTAAACATTCTTCATGTGACAGGCAGAGGTTGGAGTAAGTTGGAGTGTCGACTGTTTTCATGAGCTCACTAAACTGTGATTGGAACGCACAGGTACGTCTCTCTATGCGTGTGTATGTACATAGGTCATGGCACACAAGCCCTCGAGCAGTCATGCAGGCCGACATGTGTGGAGACAGTGACAGGCAAGCCGTCATACCTAAAGACAGTCAGCTCACAGGGTTGCCGCAGAGATCGAAGCTGCTCTGCGCTTGATTGTAGTCAAACCCAATCAACGTTCAAGCAATATTGTCGTGTTCCCCGCCCTTTGCCTCTTCCCCCCCCCCCTCCCCTCACCCCCCTTCCAACCCAATCCCCTTGGCACGTGGAAAACCAGAGCGCCGAACCCCCCCCCCCTATGGAATGTCTACTGTGCCCGAGAACCAGACATCGGGAACATGTCGGCCAGCAATAAGGTTCATGAAAATTCCCAACACAACACCCTGCACTGAGCAATGCATCAGCCTGTGTTCTCTCCACAAACTACCCTTGGCTGCCAAAGCAATGACCAAATCGAGAAAACAAACATGAGCCATGAGTGAGGTCCAGGCCACTCGAGGACGAAGATGATGAAGGTCCAGCCTGAGCAACAGGAAGGGCTCGGTTAAGGCCAAGGCCTAGGGCTAGGGCTTGGCGAACAGGAAGGGAAAAGCAAAACAAACACGCAAGGCACTTGATAGGCACTCCTACAGGGTTTATCAAAAGGGTTTGGGGCCTACCAAGTCGCGCTCACATTTTGACCGTCCCTCACGGGTTCTCCAAGCCAAAACCTCCCGACTTGGCTGTGCCGGAAGAAAGTGATCAGAACTGCCGCTCCCCACAGCAAGAGAGGCCACAAGCAGCTACAGCAGCTACAGCTAAAGCTAACATCAGCTAAAACGACCTCCGAAGCTCAAGGTGGAGTGCCCGGGGCATCCACAGGTGGATGATCTCGGCGCAAAATCTCTTGGATATCCTGGATGGAACCCCTCATCATTGCAAGGCTCCTCGCCTGAAGCTGGCCCCGCCCGTTGACAGCCCGGACTGTGTAATTGAGACCACGGAACCCCTGGAGCATGAAGTCGATGTCAGCACGATCTCTGCGATTGGCTCGCTCGAGGGCCGTAAGACGAGTCAAAATCGTGGTAGTCATGGTTTCAGGCACCGAGATGAGTGACCGGTCATCAGCAGATTCAGCAGATTCAGCAGCATCTCCTGCTGCAGCATCTCCATCTGGAATCAATGAATCTCCGGCTCCATCAGGCACAGGTGACCTGCTGCGACTGCGTCGACGTGTCGTTCCAAACAAGGCTGCTGCAGCGGTCTCTGATGACGGGATCTCGAGATGAATAGATTCATCATCGTTTGAAGAAGGCCGTGGAGCTTGCGAAGCAGACTCCTCAGCCAACTCAGCATCAGATGGAAGCAGGGCCCCCAACCGACGAATGGCCATGGTCAGCCACCGCCCTGGAAATCCTAACTTAAAGATCTAGAAAACGACTTTGCTACAGCCGCTACAAAGTAAATCAAATCACACATTGACTGCTCAGCCGCTGGTCATTTGAGCCAACGTGTAGGAGCGTAGGGCATGAGTGAAAGGCTCCAGTCATGTTGTTAAACTTGGGACCAGGCTCGAAAACCCCCAAGCACCCTGGTTTTGTTCCACATCCTGAGGTCCGGACGATCCGATGAAGAGGCACCAAACACAGTGCTGCTAGCCTACTGCTGTTGTTGCCCACTGAGGCCTATAGGCCTACTGCTGCTAAGTTATGTTCAGAACAGTACATGATGCCGTCTGTGTCCGTGTCGACTTTGGTCGTGCTGCTGCCTCATGGTGTAATGAAATGTGCACACTTGGACTGCTGGGACGACGCAGCGCGGAACGAAGCGAGATCAGAGCAAGTGAGACATGACCAGACCACAGCAACAAACACTGCAACAACCCCGTCCTGAAGCCACTGACCCAAAGAGCTTCCCAGTCATATTTCTTGTCATTTCCCATGTTTCACATTTCGCTAAGGGAAAAATGCACGTTTCAAGGTTCCAAAGCAATAAACAATATTGGGGACCCAAAAAAAGCGGGCCCGAATTTACAGAACTACCCCTATAGCATAGAGTATGGTGTAGTAGAGTATAGTGTAGGTTTAGGGTTTAGGGTTTAGGGTTTATATAGTATAGTATAGCATAGTAAAGTATAGTATCATACAAGACAGTGTAGTATGGTATGGTCACAGTATAGTACAGTAGAGCGTGGTATAGTATAGCACAGGATAGTATAGTGTTAGTATTGCTGTTCGTGATACAAATCCTGCATTACCTTAAGGACCCTAAACTATGAGAACTATAGTATATACCTGATTATGGGTAATGCAGGATTTATATCATCTATCGTAATAATAAGGAATATACCATAATTCTCC